CAGTCGTATCAGCCTGTTTGATCTTTTGAAGTGAGACAGGATGACATCACAGACTGTGAGGCTGTGGGTCACATGACCACCACAGTCACATGTTTGAAAGCTCTAAGTGAACATTGTTTGGTTTGGTTGTCCTCCAGAGGAGGCAGCTGATGTCCTCCAAACAGAAAAGAACACCTCCCACTAAAAACATCTCCGTGGATTCAGTCCCCACATACTCCATGTTAACACGTCCAACATGTCCAAATAAACATGTTCACAGCCCCTCTGCAGCCAGCTTCCTCCATCATGTTTCATTTGGTTTGTGGTGATGAAGAGAAGACACATCGTTCTTGTTTCTCTCTGACTCTCCACATTCAGATCAGTGATCATCACAGATTTGTGTGTGACTTGGAGGTGATGGTGATGCATGGGCTGCGGCTCATATGTGTGTGAAACTAACGAGTGATGGTTCCCCTGAGACATGCTTGTCTGATGATTGTTGGATGGAGCGAGCAGAGAGTGAACTACCATCCTGGATTTGATGTTATCCAGGGAAAATCGTCATGGTAACTTCTTACAATATTATGAAGATCAGGTTATAGCTTCTCACCTCCAGACTGGAGATCAATAAGTATGACGTCACCGCCTACTGACCAGTCAAGTGTCAGCATTGGTGGAAGATCCCTCTGTGTGGACAGTAGGAGGTCTACTACTAGTACTCTGATCAACTCGCCACAGTTTTCAGGGTTTAAGCTCCTTCCAGCCTGATGGTTCCCAAAAAGGTTCATTTCTCAGGGCTTTATGTGCACACACGCCCTGCTGGTGAAAGACTGGCAGTACAGACAGATTATAGGTGATTTTATCTGTTTGAATAGAATAGAATAGAATAGAATAGAATAGAATGCCTTGTAGAAACAAACTGTTCTTGAGTCTTTCAGTGTTTGTGCTGAAGAGAGGATGCGCTCTTCTATAGCATGTTATCTATAAATGTACGCGTCCACTGGTTAATGACATAATCATGTGGCGGCAGGGACCTCACAGCACACTCACAGCCTATTATATAATTGTTCTGTACATTGTTATATATGTTGTATTTGTTTATTACTAAAAACATCAAGAAGTCAAAGCAAAAGGAGAACACAGCACGGTTTAAACCAGGGAGGTTTGTTCATCTAAATGATTTATTATTAAAACATCCCCACAAACACACAAAGCTCCACATCAGCCCGATATGAAACAGAAGCTCTGTAGAGCGGCCAATCACGATGAAGCACTTTACATTAAGCAGATTCAACTGCGCTTCATGTTTTTGGCCACCAGATGTCACCAAAGAGGCCTGTGCTGAAAAGCTTTTTCAATACAAGCCTCAGAAAGCTTCATTTGACCATCGCTGCCCAATCCTCAGCACACAACAAACACTTTACTTTGGATTAACAGAAAAGACATCAAAATATAACAAACATCAAATATCTGTAATGATGCTGCTGAAAGTGACCTGAATGGGGGAAGCGTCCTCTTCCTGACAGGCTCCTTCAGAATAAGAGTCAGTAAAACACAACCTGACTCTTTATCACCAAGACTTCCAACACTTCCTGGACAGGTGTCGTGCCGAGGCAGGTATCCCCGACAGAGTGTGTTTCACCTGCGTCGGGATCGCGGGTCCAGTTGGCTCCGCCTCCTTTCCAACCAACTCGACGTGGAAGTAGTGAGGTTTACTTTAGTGAGACGGTGAAAGACGAGTGTGGGTACATGAGCGTTCAGTTTGTGGGTCACAGAGAACATGAGACACGTTCTGTTCTCATGTGTTACAAATCGACGACGTTTCCCTGATGATTCTGTAACTTTACTGTATAAAGAGCTCACAGCTCCAAAGTTTCAGGAAGTGTTTGTGGGCTAAACATCAGGAATGACGGACGCTGTTTGTCCAGGATTTGGACAGCCCAGTGTGCGCTCCCGACAGGGGAAACCTCCCTTTGCACGACATTGGCGAGGCTTCAAACGTCTCAGTGTATCATGACGGCTGGAGGCTCCAGAGCTTCAGGTGTGGAGGTTCTGCTCCAGATGTCCTCAAACTGACCTTTGACCTCTACCAGACACCATCAGGGCCGCTCTGTACGAGACGTCCACCCTCTCCCACGACTTCAGACGCACCGGGATCAAACGTGCTCGAGTGAGCTGCTTCATCCTGCTCACTTCTTCTTCCTCACGTCCTCTCTCTCAGCTCCGCCCCCGCCACCATCATGGAGGATCTTCAGGTTCCTCAGCTGCACTTAAAGGAGACCATTTCTGATCTCAGGTCAGATTTCAGACTCTGTCCCTTCTCAGATAGAGCAATAAAAACGAGTCAGACAGCTGAACTATTCCAAGCTGTCACATTTATACCGTTAGAGCTCTCGTACACGTTCATGTCTGCTTTATTTTCTGTCACATTTCACTTTGTCCACTTTGATCCTCACACCAGATTCAGGATGGCGCCAGTGTGTACGGCTTGCCGTCTGACTTTGCTTGTATTTGTGCTATTTATTTTATCTGACTTAAAAAATGTTAACTCTCTGCGTGTATATGATCGCCAAACGCTTCTGACGATAAGATCTTCTTTTTTTAAAACTTTGTAATCATGGATACCAGGGAAGATTTTCTGGAGGAGGACAGACATTTGTTTAGAACTCTCAAAGATGTCGAAGAAGCTGCTTTAAGCAATTACTCTGGTGTTCCTCCACCTCCAAAGAAATGTCAGAAGGAGTCCGAACCACAAAAGAAGCGCGTATTCTCGGACGACAACGGTGCCTTTTATATTATATAAAACAAATGTTTGTCCTCCTTCAGAAAATCTTATCTTACGTACGCAAACGCGCGTTGCAACTTCTTATATGGTGCGCGTCTTTTATTTTGAAAGTGCATGTGCACCTGCGGACCACTTATGTGCAGCCCTGTGTTTAGATACCAGGACACTGTAAAAGCAGAAAAATCTAAGTTTTTGCCAATATTATTGAGAATAGCTCCAACAACCCCAGGCTTCCCTGAATATTTCTCCTGCTTCTCACATAAATAGCTTCACAGAAACTTGTGAAAGATTTTTGCAGTTTTTTATCAATAAGATAAAACATCTTCGATTTATGAACACTCTGCGTTCCCATGACATTTTTGCAAAATTCACCTGCTCTACTGTTTGAGCCTGTGTGGTTTGATCAGGTGGAAGAACTTTGTATTGGCATAAAGACATCATCTTGTCCAAATGAAGTTGTTCCAATACATTTCTTAAAAAAGATTTTTAAGGTTGTCAGTTGTGACATTTTAGCGATTTGTAATAGCAGTCTTAAATCAGGTGTTGTGTAGCCTGTTTTAAACATGCTGTTGTGCAGCCTGTGCTTAAAAAACCCAATCTTGATTTCTCTGTGTGGCGGGGGTGTGGTCTCTGGCCCGCTGCAGAGGAGGGGCGGCGCGGAGACGGGGCTGTGTTTGGGACGAGAGACTGATTGTGACTATTTTATGTTTCAGTGACAGTTGAGGAGAGAGAGTGGAGTGACCACTGAGCGGGAGTGTCTGTGTCCCTGCATTAAACCACAGTGAACAGTCATAATAAAGTAAGTGTGCTGTCACCCACGGTCTGTGTGCGTGTGTTGGGGTTGCACACAGACCTGGGCCGCAATGTCGCATCCCCAGCCCAACCCGCCTGCTCCTCCGGCGCCGCAGCCACCTGCCCAACCGCTACAAATGCCGGGTCAGATGATGCAGGACACTGAAGGTCGTGAACCGGTAAAATTCCTTGAAGGCTGTCGACCAACTTTGCTGAGTTTTCAAACTAAACAGGGGAAGATCAAAATCGACAGAGCCCATCGGTCCATTGGATTATCAAGACCGAATCGCCCTCATGCAATGATTATTAAGGTGCATAATCCTGTAGACAAGATGAGGATCCTCCCTGCAGCTAAAGATAATGGCCTCCTGACTTATGATGGTCAGATCACTCGCATTCAACACGATTTGGCAACAGGAGTAAAAGAGATGCGGCGTGCGTTTAACGGAGTGTGCCAAAAACGTGTGCAAAAAATCTGCACTTTTATATGCGCTATCCTGCTGCACTGAACGCTTTTCATGGAGGAAAAAAATATTATTTCAGTAAACCTGAAGATGCTCTTGCCTTTTTGGACAATTTGAGTTAAACTGAAGTACACCGACAGCAATTCAGTGAATAAGATTAATATTATTACAGCACTTAAGTATTAGACATATTCTTAAATTAAGGATACCCTGCTGATGCTAAGGTGTATTGGAACTGAAAGATGTACATTTATTTCAATGTGTAAACAGACCTCTCTGCATTGAATCA